TCAGCACTACCAGATGGCATTCTGCATCAGTCCAGAACCAAAGTATTAAATTAAGATGGAAAAGAAAAACCTGAATGAGTTGGAAGACACTTAGATTTTTATTTTTACAAGCAATACTGAATAAGCAAAATCTTCATATAAATTTAAGGTTGACTTAAACATACCAAATTGGAAAGAATCAGTCTGGTTTCTCCCAGTAATATTTGTTTACTTACAGTCCTTTTACCCTGTAACTTATTTGGCAAAGTACATCTTTTGCAGAACAGTAAGAAAAATAAAATACATAATGGCAGCGTGACAGGCGCAGTGCTTTTTGAAAAAGCTGACTTTTCCAGTTTCATGGTTTCTGCTTACACTTTTAGTCTTAAGTTGTTCTAAGAGGCTTGTTTATAGATATAGAAGTCATAATTTGAGGTAGCATTAAATCATACACTGAGTAATTGTTTAGATTTTCCTGATTTAGCACATGCTCTCTTGCTAGGGTGATATTTTTTGCATCAAAGTGTATGACCTTTATTTTCTTAAGTTTGAATGGAATAAGGATAGCATGTGGCTCAGCAGGTCTTTAGTTATATCTGACTATAGATACACGTGTGTGAGTACCAGTTCTAAGTAAAACACTGGCTAAATAATGCAGAGTAGAGTTTAATCAGGATGAGTTTGAGCTCCAGCCTGATTGAGAGATGATGGGGTTTTGGCTCAGACTGCTCCAGTAAATTGAGTTACTTTGAATTTTTTAAATATTTTGCTTTGTTTCTTTAGGGTAAGTGATGTAGTATCTATTACAATAGCTTAAATTCATTTATGTAAAAAGGAATGTTGTTTCTAAGCTGAAAGCATAGTGGGTAATCTGTATGCGCTAAGCAGTAGTAACACCTCATTGGCGCAGACTGTGCTTTAGAAAGGGTTGGTCTTGTCTTCAATCTTCTGGACTTCGGCTGAGAGAAAGAGAAATTGAAGTTTTCCTGATTCTCTGTTCTCTCAATTCCCTCTTCCAGTGGCAATAAACTTAAATTGCCTTCACTGAGATCTGTGTGTAGTTTTCCTTATGAACTGTATCTGTAGTTATGTCTCTGAAAAAGTTGAGTGTAATCCTTTCCAAAATTTATAACCAGTTTTTAAATTCAATTGTTGTTATCAGTGAAAGGCCTTCTTAGAAAAGATTTACATTTAGTGCATTAAATGACCTGTTGAACGTAGTAGATGCATGTCCTCTGATAAGCTACTCCAGAAGTAATATGGTACAGAAAGATCTCCATAGTGAGCATTTCTGTAGATTTCTCTTAAGAGTCCTTCATCTCATACCTGCAGGACTGGTACAAAGACCCAAAAATAAACCCAAACTAGCTGAGTGCTTTCAGTACCAGTTTCTCATTAGTTTTCAACTCAAAATGGGATTGCACAACACAACCTAAAGTGATCAGCAGATGGGGAGACAAAATGCCCACTCTGAATGCCTCACAGCCTCAAAAGCAAGGAGAAGGTAAGATACTAAGAGCACAGTTCATTAAGAGGTATTCAACACTGTTCTGCTGATGAGTTCCTTATTTGCCTTCTCTCCCAAGAGTCAGTCTGTGGATGCTAAACTGTTGAGCTGGACTACTGATTTGTTGGATTAGCAGCTCTTCACCAATATGTACACAGTAGGTCGGGTCCCACTATTTGTGATGAATCACTGGCGTGCTGGGTCCTGTCCCTTACCTCCCTGTGGGCAGTTGATGACACACAAATGATTTAGGGGGCAGTCAAGGCACCTCTGAGGCTATTCCGGACTTGCTCATTGTGCTCAAACCCAATTCAGTCAGGGCTTTCAGAGTAAGGGTGTCAAATCATCTCAGTGACCAGATCCTTACAACAGTCTTAATGTGTACATGCTTGGAAAATACGTTCAGAGTCTTGTGGAGAAGAGGCAGCTCCATAGTGGAATGTGCCTCAGGTAAAAGGTTTATTTTTTTTATCACTTTCCCTTACAAAGACAAGGCAATGGATCATCTTCCTAGACCTCACATAAATCTAGCTCCAGGTCATGCTCAGCAAAAGTAATGGGAAGTGAATTGGCAGTGCCCTTTCATAATTGCAAATCCTTAATTAGGGAAGGGTACAAGGAGCACGTAAAATGCCAGCCTCAGCAAGTGGCAGACTCCACTACTTGTGACAATAAATTACAACTTGTCAGAATAAAATTGTTGTTTCCATTAATGTGGTTGGTAGTATTCAAAGGCTTAAAATCTGGTAAAACATTCTAGGGTGAAAGATTATCTTACTCCTTAAAACTGTGTAGGTGCAGACACTTTGAAGACAGTTGCAGGCTTACTGGGCAGTGCTGTTTTGCTTGATCCTGGCTTGATTTAGAGTCATTTTAGGAAAAGGTAGAACAGCTAATTTCATCTGGTGAACCCTTCATCCTCTTACTGGTAAGGTTTAATTTTCAGTTAATGAAAACAGACCCCACTTTTTGGCTCAGCCGTGAATGTGTATGGGTTTATTTGGATTTGGAGCTCGCCTGTTACTATGGCATTTTATTGAACAAAAGCTCATGTGCAGTGTCAAGTGGAGTCTAAACAGAGAAAAAAGGCCTAAAGTCTATTTCTGGGCATCTCAAGTGTTGATGAATACCAATTTATCACGATGCTTATGTGAGTTTACTTTTAATTAGCAAGAACTTAGAGTGAACAGAAAATAGAGTAGACAGACACAATTTTAAGTATTTTTTTTAGGCAGAGCTGTTATGTTTGCTTCTTTTGTAGTTTTTTTCCTGCTTTTCCAGTTTATTACTAGTTCGTGAAGCCCAAAATACTCTTTTGTTGCCATTAAAGCACTCTTTTCTGCTTCACTTCCACAGTGGGACTTCTTCACAAAGAAGCAACACACTGTCTTGCTTAAGAACTAGATCAGACCTTGAAGGGGAAAAGATTTGCATTCAGATTCTCTGCTTTTATACCAGGCACATCAGTTACACCTGTCTGGATAAATGTAAAAAAGCAAAACAAAACAGCCACATTGTTGTTTGTACTGACTAAAACCACCAAAATAGTAGATATTTCAGGAATAGTAGATGTGTCAATAAAGCTTACAAAGAACAGGTCATAGAAAAGCAATTAAAAATATCTTTATGAAGGTCTTTATTCCTTTAAATACTGTATTGTTTTTCATAAAGGCATTCAGGATAGAATTCTAAGATTTTTTTCCCTTTAAAGCACCAATTCTTAAATGAAAATATGAACAGTAGTCTTATTTCTGCCCTTTTTTTTTTTTTTTGTCTGTAGCTAAAGTGTCAGTTTCTGCCTGTTTACCACATACAGATTATTTTAAGGTGATTTGGGTTTTTTATTAGTATGCTGAACAAAATTTTCACATTAAACTGCATAACTCTCTTCGCACACAGTGCCATATAAAATAATTAAAACATGAAATTGTATAACTGAAACAGTCTCTCCATAGAGGTAATTAATTTTAAAGGAAAACCCAAAAATGTAGGTTCATGCCTGTTAATTGCACCTCTCCTTCGAAACACAGAATGCTGAAGAAAGCCTTGAGCAAGTGGTGTTCTTGCTGCTTATATTTATAAATGTCTGAGTCAATGTTCACAAGGTCTTTAGCAGTTTCCTCCTACCACTACTCACTCTGTTTTTTCATAGTGTTCATATTTGTAACCTCATGTATATGATGATGATAATGCTCCATCCCTGGCAGTGTTCAAGGCCAGGTTGGACAGAGCCTTGGTCGACATGGTCTAGTTTGGGTTGGAACTAGATGATATTAAGGTCGTTTCCAGCCCTAACTATTCTATGATTATCTGTGTTGGTTCAGGACTTGATAGCCATAAAAGCAAAACTCAAATTTGCCACTCAGGGTTAGTGTGTGCCCAGGCTACTGTCAGTACAGGAAAAGTAGGAAGGAGCAGGGTTGGGCTCTAGAGGAGAGGATGTATGTTGGCAAGGGGAGGGGAGGAAGAGGTGGGCTTGCTATTCCAGCTACTCTTGGGAGGACACTGGGCTAGAATAAAGGCCCCTGCTTCTTCAGAGCAGTGTATTGGCCTCCAGCTTTCAGAGCACTGGGAGCAGCACCGGGGCAGCACTACTGCTCAGCAGCAGCAGGCTTTTGGCACAACACAAAAATCAAATTTGCTTTCCCAGAAAATATACAAATATGTGCAAGGGAATGAAAAACAGGGTCTCTTTTGCCCCTAACAATGTCTCGTGTGCTGTGTGGCACATCAGCGGTGGCCCTGATCCTTGCAGCTGTGCTCAGAAAGCTTTGGCTTTTGATTGCTCTTCCTTTTCTCTAGCACATCATGAATTTTAACAGAAGGAGTTTGGTTTTAATTCCACTAAATCTTCTTGTGAGTTGCACAATTAAGTTTGTTGTTTCTTGCAAAACTAGCAGTATTCTGTAACTTCGTGTAGTAAAATATTTGCAAAATAAAAAATGACCTGTTGAAGGCTGGGATAATACCATACTACTATATCGGGTTGTGGAGGAAGTCTTTTTGCTTGTAGTACCAAGTAGCCTAGAACAGTTACTTTCATTAAATTGAAGATCACAGGGCTGTGGTTTTGTTCTCTAGTTGATACCTATCAACACTGTGACAGCATAAATCAGGACCTATTTTCTGCTATTTGTTTTTATTATTTTCATTTAGAAGGCAGAAATCTGAAGTCCAACCCCTAAAAAAATATATGTAATATTCCATTCCATGTCTGGTTCACAGCCTAAACAGGCCAAGATCATAAACAGCTGCTCATTTTTTAGGTTTAGGTCTCAGAAATTTCTAATGTTGCTGTGATTACTCATGTATTCAAAGTTATACTTCCACTGCAAAAGTGCACAGGTATCATTCAGCCTCATTTAAAATGTAGGGATATTTTTTTCTTGACAGAAACAGTTTTATTAAGCACGCCCATGTTGTGAAATGTTTTGCTGGTATTTTTTTTAAATGAAAATTATTCAATGTTTTTACAGAAATGTTAATTATTAGTTATTTGGGGTTTTTTTTGTAGGAGTTCTCTGGAATCTATCCTCCTGTGATGCACTGAAAATGCCAATTATCCAGGATGCCCTTGCGGTGTTGACCAATGCAGTGATCATCCCTCACTCTGGATGGGAAAACTCGCCGCTCCAGGATGATCATAAAATACAACTCCATTCATCACAGGTGCTGCGCAATGCCACTGGGTGCCTAAGGTGAGTACTGCAAAACATTTGCTTTTCCTTAAGCATATCTCTTTGGCTTAAATTGGCATTTCTCATTCTTAGGCATCTGTATAGTAAATAATTGGTTTATGTGTCAGTAAGATGATGACTTTTAGTGCTGTAAACTTAAAGTAGGAAATCAAGCTTCAAGCCATTCAGAAAACAATCTAGAAGAGCTGCTGTGTTTTTTCTGTTTTTCTTTTCTTAGCAGCTTTGACCAATCTTCTCATCCGAGCTTGTATATTACGATGTTTTTCATTTTGTACATGTACCCTGTTTCCCTAGTTGCTTAAGTGAAGTCAGTATGTTCTCACTATTACACCCAATTTAATCAGTGCAAAAAGTAATGAAGATGCTCACAAGACTTACAGGTTCTAAATGCCATTGCTGGAGTTACAGTAAATATTTAAAGTAGATTTTTTCTGCTTTGTGAAGGTGAGAAATGGATTTCAATAAGAGACCAACCAGTTTAACATTATGCAACTATAATACTCAAATAGATCCTTAACAAGTACATTTATATTCGTATACCAAACTTGTATATGCAACACCAAGGTGCACATATATAAATATGTGCAATATGGTCTGTTCATTCCTAAAAGTTGCTGTAGATGTGAGAATGAAAATAGGATGAGTAAGAAGAGTTTCAGTTTGCAAACTGATGTGAGCTTACTGTAGCCTACACTCTGGGTCAACCTGAGGACTTGGGGCCATATGAGAATGGTACGTTGCCTGATCTAATACACACTGCTTTGCAGCAAGGCTTACTACCAAGTGCTCAATGGTACACTGTCATAGCAGAATGACTTCTAGTCAGCTCATGCAAAAAAAGCTCATATCTGCCTGCAAAAGACTGTGCGTATTACAACTCTTGTCTCCTTCCCAGGTAGCTGTAACAGCAGCTCAAACGGCTGTCCTGAGCAGGTTTTCTTCCTTTTAAACCGAGGCCCTTCAACTGTATCATGGTTTTGTAATACCTTTCTGATAAAAAACCTTCCCAATTTCCCAGATACATCTTTTTGCCCTCTCTAGCAGCTTCAGGTACTTATTTGGCCTTTATCTTCTTTAGACAATTTCATCCCACCCTGTGTGGATGCAGAGCCAGAACATTTGGAGAGGGTTGAACTTATATTTGCTTCGTACTAGAAGGAATATTCTTGTTTACCTTTGCTGTTGAAAATCTCTCTCTCTCTGAACAGGATGTCAGTTTGGAGTTTGTGCAAGAGAGAAAAGTGTAAGTTGACCTCTGAGGTGATAACTGGATTCTTACATTGAATTCATGTAAGATACTGGGACTGTAGGCTGGAGGAAACTGTGAATGCCAAAAAAAAAGAGATCAGAAAGCTCTGTGGAGGTGATTGGAGTAGCGTATGCTAGTACTGTAGCTAGCATTCCTTAAACACCCACCACCCCCAATAAACTGAACAGCTCTCACACTTTCCACTTGTGACTAGTTACAAGCCTCCTTTTCCCATTTCAAGATCTCACTGGACAAGGAAGGTAACATAAATCAGGAAGATGTAATGTTGCTGCTGGCTGAGATAGTGCTGTGTTTATCTAGTAAATGGAGAGTCCATTGCCATATTCTGTGGCAGAATTTCTTCTAAGACTCGAGTTTGGTTGTTCTCTGCTGACTTTTTTCTGCTTTCACTAGAGTTCTTTTTTGAAGGGGCACTGGTTAAAATTCAGTAGCATCAGGATTATCAGTGATGATACTGACTATCATAGGAAAAGTAGTGCTGTTCAGAATACTTCACAAATGTTTCTGAATCTGTAATGTTAACAGATTTTAGAGACATCAGGTTGTATTACGTAAGGTTTAATGCTAGCAAATATGCCAGGAGGATTTTGTTCACGGGGTGGGGAGGGTGTCCAATCTTCTGTGCCTTTGGTTTTCTGATGCATTCACTGCTGAAAACTTCAAATAATATCTGAGAGGTGTGGTAATATAATCCATCCCATATACAATGCTAATAAATGGTTTGCAATGGCTATCATACAGGAATAGTAGGATCTTTGGTTCACATTTTTTCACTACAGTATATGCATTATTCTTTCTGCTGATCTTCCCCCTTTTTCAGTTTCTTGAGGAGAGTTTCTTACACCTTTTCAATTAAAAAGTTGTTTATTAACTACATATTTCAGTATTCTTATCTGCTTATTCATTATCATTCCTAACCAAGTACTTAATTCTGCAATTCCAGTCATGCAGTAATCCAGCTGAAATTGGTATGAAATCGTACGAAATACAGCAGCAACATCAGACCTTCTTTTCCTATTTCATTTTTCTTCTATAAGACATTATTTACAAATTGCTCTTTGCATACTTTGGTGAATTGAAAAAAGGAATTAGCCTTGATACAATATTGTACTAATTAATTTTACATAACTTGAATACTGCGAAATGGTTTAGATAATTCAAAGCTCTAAATAGAGCGTTATACCTATCATTACAAATTTAATCCTAAAATTCATCTTTCATAATTGCCAGACCTCAGTGTGAGATGTGTTAGAGTCACCACCTGATTTACTTGCCTCCCCACAGAGATATTACTACCTTGCCTCATTAAGTTCAGTGGAAGTTTGACTTCTCTGTTTCCTTTTGGATTTCAGCTGTGACTGCTTTACTTGTGTTAGGGAAGTACTGCATCTGTGTTTTATAGGTTCTGATTCATTTCGACTTATTAGGGAAAGTCAGGTGAAGACTGAATTTGGAATCCCTGTTGTTTATGGGGGGAGGGAGGGATGTTACAATCACTAATATGAAATGTAAAAATCAACAGGACACGCACTGCATAATGTTGTCTTAACCTGAAGCTGAAGCTTACTTATCACAGAACTAGGTCTCTGTCCAAAGACTATCTGAAAAATCCCAGGCAAAAATCTTCTGAAGAGTTTTTGTCCTGAAGTAAAGTCTGGAACCTTCTTTTTGCTATCAGTTTAAAATGAATTTAAGTTCATAGAATCTCATCTGAGGATGTCAAAGAATTACAAGTATTTACTGGTTTAAGATTCTAGTCTGGCTTTAGATGCACACTCGTAAAATGCTGACTTTTTTTTCTTTTTTTTTTAAACGTTCATCATACACTGAAGGTACAGGAACAATTGTAAAAATCACAGATCTGATAGAATACTTAACTCCCCTCATTAGTTGATTAGAAATTGCATGGGAGAGTAATTCAAATAGGTTTTGTTTATAAAGCCCTATACCTTTCAAATTTCCATACTTCATATGTTCATACATGTCAAACCTTTCACAAAATACCATGAATTATTTTTCAGCTGAAAAAAATGTAGCAAGTTCTCAAGAGTAGAAAAGGAAAGAGGAAGAGAGCTTTTTAAACATGAATTAAATGTAACTGACCCAGTAGTATTCTCTAGAGAGATCAGACTTTTGGGAAGAAGCTAATTAACTTGTTAAAACTTTTTGTGTTCACTTCAAAGCCTGAATAGCAAATATTTTTTACTGTTTCATGGGTGAATTATCTGTTTCACAGACATTTATGGCTAATTCATTTATCCCACTGTCTTATTTCTTGTCCAGTTCTCTTCTAAGCGTCCAAAATCTATTGATTCCTATTCTTAGGAACTTCTATAATCTGTTTTGAATATAACATTCTGCTGCATACTGACAAAAGATGTGGGCGCAGCATAAAATAGCACAGACTGTATTATTCATCATCTGTTTTGTTTCTAAAGAAACACGCATATATATGAAGAAACATTCTTATATAAATATGTGAAACATGTTTCTTATGAAACTAAACTGATACATGTGTATGTGCCTGTGCATATGTGAGTTTATGTGTATATACATACAGATACAGAAGCGCTGATTATTGAAGCTCTAATATATTTCTGTTTTTACTGACTGGTACAAGCTCTAAATATCTTCAGTTGGGCATAAACAAAGCTGGCTTCTTACAGTAGAACCAGAACCTTTGCTGCCGATACATGATAATTCTCCTGCCAACACAACAGTCATTTTGTCCATCCTTCTCCATGCTGTATTGGATGTAGAGCTGTTGGACTTGACAACCGATCTCAGTATTTCCCTTGCTTTTTCTAAAGCTCAGGAGCTCTTCTCAAGATGACCTTGGCAATCTTGTGCATCAGGTAACAGAAAGCCCACGCTCTATCAAGAAGCCAGTCAGAATCCAAAGTTAAGACAAAACTCCTGGTAATTGTGTATTTCCGCTGGCAGCCTACTCAAGGGAGAGACTTTTACTGCAGACACTTAACAGCAAGCAAGTGGCATGAGAGAGAGACAACTACCTAGGAGGATATTGAGGCAGAGATACCTGCTTGTAGAGAGGAAGCTGTCCAAATCCAAACCCACAATTTTTCCTCCTCTTACCCTCTTCGATTCCAGTCTAATCTTGGAGAAAGGGGTAATCACCACTGTTCTTGTTTTTCTAATACATTTTGAGCTATAAAAATTGCAAAACTGGTGTAATCAAATAAATATCTGAGGACCATCAGATCAGCAGATTTGATGCCAATTATCTGGCTATACTCTGTGAGTGCACTGTGGTGAAACACAGTTCATGTTTTACATAGTCTATGGAGTTGCACGCCATGGGCTGAACTTCATTTAGCCTCAACTAGGGTGTATAACCCCTGTGGTCTTCAGGGTTTACTGGCTGTACTAGTGTGTCCATTGTGAAATGCACGCTCCTGAGAGCATTCCTTAGCTTGATAATTCCTCCAGGACCTGAAGTAGGCAGTAAGTGCTGAGGTTAGTCTTGACAAGGAGCTCAGGAAAAGCTTACCTTTAATGTCTGATTTTGTGAAGTTTAATCCCTTTTAACTAATATTATTAAAATGCATCCTTTATGCTCCTGGGTCCCAGCAACAACAAGCTGTGGAGGAACTGAGGAGCAAATGTCAACAACATTTTAAAGAAACTGAGGAATCCTGATACTCACTGTATGTACACATGACTACCAGATAATTTCCAGTTTAATATAACTGAAGGTATCTTGATCACAACTT